ATCGAACGAATTTACTGAATCTAACGAATTTATCAATCTATCGAATCAACCCAATGTAATACGAATGAAACCATTGTAATATGAAAGAAACAAGCCATTGTAAGCAGTTATATGAAGAAGATTGAAGTTATTAAAGAAGTTAACTAAAGTATTCGGTGTGCTCTTTAAACCTACTGCATCCATAGAGCGGCATTGGAGGAATTACAGAGTAAAGTCAGTCTACTCAAACAAAGAAACAGCAATTGCATAATTTTTCTAATGCCACAGCGCACTAGGCACCAAAGGGTGCTGCGCCTGCCACACCACCTGTTTTGCAAACCAAGAGATCCTCCTCTAAACCTTGGGGCATTGGTGGATTGCCCCGAACCTTTATGATGAATTTGCATCAAGCCTGTCTTAGATTTTTGCTCTACTCCCAGAGAGTGGCTCTGGGTCACACTCCCTAGAAACTGACAATTATGTTCTCTCAGGTCATTCCCTAGGAGAATGTCAGCAGGAAGTCCTGCCATTACCCCAGCAGAACAAAGTTCATAATCCAGAAGAAAAAAGGCCTTTGGGTGATTTCTCATGGCACCCTCCCCCACTAGTTCAATAGAAAATCCATCCAATCAGATTCACCAGACAGCGATCAACGATGGTCAGTAAGGTGCCTGTATCACGGAAACCAATGACTTTTCATCCATCTATTCAGACCTCCTGTAACTGCTGCTGTCTTATCTCAGGGTAGCTTGGGGTAAGTGGCTGGACTCGTAGACTCCTAGAAGGGTGCTGGTTGTTGTTGGAGGCATCCATTCACTTTGAGATGGTGAAAGGCTCTCTCCTCCTGCCACCAGCACTACACTGGGATCAGGGCAAGTGTTTTGAGTCTGGGGAGGGTGGAAGTTCTTGGGCATCTAGCCTGGAGATGCCTGGGTTGTCCACATCTGTAGTGTGTGCGGTCTAAGGGTGACCCAGAGGGCTGGGGTAGGAGTGGCATTTCCTCAGAAGCTTGGTACATATCCACAGTGCACCGACTTGGGAGAGGTTTTCTTAGCAGGGCAGCCAAAGCAGAGTCTCTCTATAGTAGGCCTGGGGGCCTGCTGAGGGGGAACTGGATTGTCATCCAGCAGCAGTGGGGAGGCATAGAGGGTACAAATGTGGGGCTGGGAATCCTGGGAACTCGGGGTACCTCAGCAGCTGTCTTCTTCCATTGAGGATTAATCATGAGGGCCTCATCTGCTAAGGCTGTTGCTTCCTCTAGGGTGATGGGTTTCCTTTCACACACCCACTGTTGGAGCTCAGGGGGACATGAACAAGAACTGCTCCTTCTGGATCATGTGAATAATTTCCTCAGGGGAGGTCCCTTTCTCCCCTGTCAGTGATCAGTGACACTCTAAAGACAGCTTATGCAGAATATTTTGAAAGGGGTCTCTGGAGGTGAGGGGTAGTCTGAAACTGGGCCCAATAAGACTGTGATACCGCTTCCATCCCTGCCCTTTTTATGTACTCATAGCTGCATTTCTTTAGGGGATCCATCATGTGATAGGCCTCAATGTCCCCTTCATCTAGCAGCCCTACCACATGGCAGGTCCAGTTCATGGGAGGTACTTCCAGCAGCTTGCACTGGTGTTCAAAGTCCTGAAAGAACCCTTCCTCATCTCTAGTATGTTCTTGGTAGGGCTAAAGTACTTCCTGGAGACTCTTGGGGTTTCCCTTACCACAGGGATGGACACAGAGGCAGCTGCTCTGTTCTTTGCAGTGTCCCACCTGTCTCTTTTTTTTTTTTCAGTGACTGCAAGTGTCCATTCTGTCGTGGCACCCTCCCCCAGAATGGCCATCTCTAGTACCAGATAACCCATGGGCTCTCTTACTGGCTTTCCTGGTTTAGCTCTGGTACATCCTCACAGGGTGGTGCCTGACCCATGTTCGGTGCTCAACTCCTTTTGGCCAGCGAGGTGACAGATCATTCATGTGTATCTATGTCTACAGGGATGTCAGATCATTATGCCATCTAGGTGTTCATCTCTCCAATCTTCAGGCTCCACTCCAGAGCCAAACTATTCAGATTTATAAATTGTGACCATTTGTCTTCTACTGACCACTAAATGAAGAGAACACTGTATCTGTAATACTGAACATTGAATTCCAGGAATATCTGTCACATCCTAGATTGTAGCTCGAAAGAGCAGGGCCTTGAACCCCTCGTGTTTTGTTTTGTTACTGTATTGTCTCATGTACTTCCCCCACTATAATGTACAGCGCTGAGCAAACCTTTTAGTGCTATATAAATATAAATAATGTAATAATAATGCCACCTTTACAGGGGATGTTACATCCCAACCATTGCTGGTCCTCCATGTCTATGGTCACCTTACAGAGAGTATCTGAGATATGTTCCTGAAGGTCCTGCCAACATTTATACCAGACCCTTATGTGAGCATGCCGGCCAGGCCAGGAAAGGGGAGGGATCCTACTCAATCACAAAAAAAATAGATTGTAAAAAAAGTTTAAAAAAAGTCCCATGATGTAGATCAATGTCTAGCATGAAGTCTAATGATCACCGAAAAAAAACAAATCTGATGACCAAATGTGACAACACAACTCACTGAATGACAACTCCCTGACCTATCATAACAATAATGGGAAGGGGTGGGGGATAGAGATGATATCATGTTGCCCAAATCTGGGGAATCAGGAGCCATTTCCACCCTTGAAAACTCTGGGCTGGGGGGCTTTGTATCCATATACCAGATGTTCTACAGGACTAAATCTGCAATCAATTTTACTGCAGAATCAAAGTCAAGGCCAAAACCCCTCCCCCGAGCAGTCATATATTTCTGTCCCCCTTGGTGGGAGTGGAGGTGACCCCTCTATAAGGATCTACAGTCCATACACACCCGGTGTAGCGGCTACAAGGCTAAGCTAGAAGAAGGGTCATTAACTCTCACACTGCGCACACAGTCACGCGATTCTAAAATGGAGTGGAGGGGAAAACAAAATGACAGACCTAAAACCCTTCTGCATTTCCTAACTGTTAATTCTAATTACCAAAATCTCAGAATGTGGACACTCCCTGACCTGTCATCCACTATGGTGGGATGATATCATTGCCCAAATCTCACTTCTACCAGCCAAAACTCCCCTGGGGGGCTTTGACATATACCAGATGCATCACAGACTAAATCTCATGGGGAAATTTATGCCAGAATACAAAGGGGCCGGGGTCCCTCCACTGACCAGTCATATATTTCTTCCCCCTTGGTGGGGTGATTCCTCTGAGCTCCACAAGGTGGGGATCTCAGTCTTTACCCAGACAGGAAGTCTCACTACCAGACAGACAGGAAGTGATGTCAGGTACAAGACAGGAAGTGATGTCAGGAAAGACAGGAAGACAGGAAGTGATGTCAGGTACAGACAGGAAGTGATGTCAGGAAGACAGGAAGTTCATGAATGAGGAAGTAGAGAGGAGACATTCCTGGATCTGGCAGCAGAGGAGGTAATACGTAGATGAACCCCTTCAGGGGGAGGAGTTGATGATAATATATTTGCTCCCAAAGCTGGCCTACATGGTTCAGTTTTATCGTTCAGCCAGCGGGATGACCATAAAAACTGAAGTGATTCCCCCATCCACACATTGGAGGTGGATGGGGGAATCCTCCCCGCTGCACTCTTGTATTCTGACAATGGGGGGACTCCTCCGCTCTCAGAATACACAGATCAGCACTGAAGCTATTGGCTGCAGCCGCTGGGGGAGTGGCTTTTATCCGGCAGTGGCCACACATGGATGGAAATGTGAGCGATCCCTGCTGAACCAGCTGAATTTCCATGGATCTATGGTCACCTTCAGTGACTTCCTCCCCTCCCCCTCTCTCCTTCATGATGGAAGTCATGCTGAGATCATCTCCCATTGGCTGAGCAATATTCTCATTTGTCTCTCAGCTCCTTCTTGCTATTCCTCGTCCTGCCTGTTGTTTCCTTGGATTGATTTTCTGTGTAGTGACCCCGGCTTGGTCTCTTGGATGCGCTCGTCTGTTGCTTGCCCTGACCTTTCTCCTGATTCCTGGATCTCCTCCTCATCTCTCCTCCATATCCTCTTACACAGCTTTTCTCCACACCTGCAGTGACCCTGGGGGGAGGAAACTTGGCACCAGCACGCCGCCAAATCCATCCCCACCATTAGGGGCTCTGGAGACAATTGTCTGCTATTTACACTCCGTTCCTCCGCATGTCACCTGATCACATGACAGCTTACTTCCACAGATTCCGGACAGATTTCTGGATGGTAAAGGTCAAAGGTCACTCTTCAGTTTAGGAGAGGTAGGACGCACCCAGGAACAAGGATTTGGTTTGCATGGGAGCCTCATATAGAGACACCCTCACAGCTCCTCTCCCAATGTCCCTCCATCCAAGTCATGTCCTATGACATCCATCCAGAGCTCCTCCTATATCCCTCCATCCAGAGTCAGAGAATCCTATGACATCACACTGACCTCACAGCTCCTAGGATTCAGAGCTGAATCCTATGACATCAGGTCACTGACCTCACAGCTCCTCCTCGATGTCCCTTCATCTGACATTTTTCTGATGCTCTTAGGATGTGGGGGCCCCTTGGTATCCTCACATGTAAAGTGGGACTGTTGGTCCTGCGTTGTATGTAATGACATCAGAATGCTGCAACAAGCCTATACCCTGCGTAGTGTGGGGGTCCTGTGGGGGGGAATTATACCTCAGCCTGAAGTGGGGCTTTAATAAAATGGAGACCTGAATGGAGAGGTGAGGAGGATTCTGGGAATATCATTTGATGTGACTATTTGTGTTCAGATGTAGAGTTTTCCTCCTGTGAAGTCTGGAGATCATATGACATCACATTGCCTCCACCTCCCTCCCTGATAGAAGAGAGAAAGAAGAAGAAGATTCTAGAAGTCACCAGAGAGATCACTGAGCTGCTGACAGGAGAGGTGAGCGGTGCCGGGAATTCTGGGACATTCTCCAGTAACAGACAAGGGATGTGTCTGGATGGTGACTGTATCATTGTGTGTGTCAGGTTCCTATAAGGTGTCAGGGTGTCACTGTCTATTTCTCCATGGAGGAGTGGGAGTATTTAGAAGGACACAAGGATCTCTACAAGGACGTCATGATGGACAATCAGCCGCCCCTCACATCACCGGGTAAGAGGAGACTTTATTGTAAAGGAGAGAGCAGTACGGAGGATCCACCTAGATCCCCCATCATCTGATAAACACATAGAAACAATGGATTCAGTCAGTGTGTGTGTTTCCTACAGATGGATCCAGTCATGGGAACCCACCAGAGAGATGTCCCCGTCCTCTGTATTCCCCGGGATTCCACACAGGAAGGTCACACCATCCCTCACCATCATCAGGTAGATGATGACAATTATTGGTAGTTGTGATTTATACACAGCATGTTTGTTACAATGAATGTTTTATTATATCTTTCAGAGTGGAATCCTCGGGGATGATAATATTGATGTTAAAGAAGAGTATAAAGAGGAGGATGAGGAGTATGGAGTGATGGAGGAGTTTTCAGAAGGACACAAGGATATGATGGAGCCACCTAATACCAGGAACCCACCAGAGAGATGTCCCCGTCCTCTGTATTCCCGGGATTCCACACAGGAAGGTCACACCATCCCTCACATTACAAGGTTGGTGGGATGGAGCATCTAGAACATGGACTCATGGAGACAATGTGTGGATTTTTTTTATGTGACCTTATAAATATTTTTTACAGATGATATTTTCTCTCATTTCCTTGATTTAGAGTGGAGATCCAATCGATATAGAATTTGAGGTGAAAGCAGAAGAAGAAGAGGCGTATGTGAGGGATGATCAGCAGTCTATGGAGGAGGATGGAATAACGGGGACATTTATAGAGGAGGACACTCCTACAGAGATCAGCACAGGTGGGTCATGAACACTAAATCCATTCCTCCACCCATACTGCTCACTGATTGGTCCAGAGTAGGGCGGGGACTGGGTGATATCAGCCTGTAATCCCCTGGTCACTTTCCTGAGCTGTGTCATGGACTAAATAAGGAAAGTGCAGTACTTCTTGTGTTGGGAAGATGGCGATGAGTGATAGAGGGGGTGGGGACCCTCGTCCTATAATCCCCTCATCACTGTCCCTCCTAAAAAGACAGTTCTGGTTGTTTCCTCACTCTCTGACTAAGGTCCATGAATAAAGAAATGACCTGGTAGGAGATCAGAGGAGCCATTTCCTAGTTCCCTTGAGGGTGGAATTGTAAGCTCCTCAGAGACCAAGCTGCTGATGTGGGCGGAGTCCTGGTTTGGGGAACCAATCAGCTCCTGTCTAGTAATCCTCTTTGTCTTTGTATTTTAGTCCATGGCCGGGAGATGAGGAAAACCTCCGAGGATTGTCTCACTTTGTCTCCAGACTGGAAAGTAGAAGATGAGGACATCACACAGTATAGTCCAGGAGAAACCCGGCTCCCTCCAATGTCCATCCGGCACCACCCAGTGTAGATGGACCATCGGATTCCTCGTATCCTGAGGAACCTCAGACTGTGCGGGACCGGGCCGGCCTTCCAACAGGGAAGAGCTTCTCTCTGTCCTGAGTGTGGGAAGGGTTTCCATTCTAAATTCCAAACTTAATGTGCATAAAAGATCTCACACACAGGGGAAAAAACCATATTCCTGTCCTGAGTGCGGGAAAAGTTTTTCAGCAAAAGTCGAATCTTGTCAGACATCAGAGATCTCACACACGGGGGAGAAGCCACTTTCCTGTCTCTGAGTGCGGGAAATATTGTTTTCACAGAAGTCCTATCTTTACACACACCAGATATCTCATACGGGGGAGAAGCTGCATTGCTGTGCTGAGTGTGGGAAATGTTTTTCACATATTTCCTACTTTTACAGACATCAGAGATCTCACAGGGGGAGAAGCCATATTCTTGCCTTGAATGTGGGAAATGTTTTGTAGAAAAATCAAAACTTTTAACACATCAGAGATCTCACACGGGGGAGAAGCCGTATTCTTGTCCTGAGTGCGGGAAATGTTTTTCACAGAAGTCCTGTCTTTCCATACATCAAAGATCTCACACACGGGCAGAGAAGCCACTTTGCTGTTCTGAGTGTGGAAATGTTTTTCAAGGAAAATACAATCTTTACACACATCAGAGATCTCACACGGGGGAAAAGCCATATTCCTGTCCTGTGTGCGGGAAATGTTTTTTTCACATGAAGTCCATCTTTACACACATCAGAGATCTCACACAGGGGGGAGAAGCCGTATTCCTGTCCTGAGTGTGGGAAATGTTTTTCAGATAAATCCAATCTTAACACACATCAGAGAACCCACACAGGAGTGAAGCCGTATTCCTGTCCTGAGTGTGGGAAATGTTTTTCAGACAAGTCCCATCTTTACACACATCAGAGATCTCACCCACGGGGAGAAGCCACTTTCCTGTCCTGAGTGAGGGAAATGTTCCTCACTGAAGTCCTGTCTTCCTGTACATCAGGGGTCCCACACAACCCTGGAGGTGTATTAGTGCCTTGAGTGCGGGAAATGTCTTCTAGATGAATGTTGCTGGACATCCCAGCTCTCATGTGGGGAAGAAGCACACCCTGATATACACCTCAGATATACTCCATTGGTTGACCTTCATCATGGATCGCAGAAGAAACAGTCCATAAGGAGATCAGAAAAAGTACTTCATTATGGCCACTAGATGGCGCTGCATTATCATAGGAAATCACTCCGCAACCAACCCGGCCCCCCTCCACTCGCTGCGGACACGCCTACATGACAGCCAATCCTTTCTAGGAACAAAATGGCCCAGAATTTTGTAATGGCTGAATAAGTGATTGTCACATTCATCCTATTGAATTATACATTAGACCCCTTCAGTTTCCTGTCAGGCCGGGTTTCATAACAGATTCCTGAGATCTTACTCCTTTACTTGTAGCGCCCTCTAATGTGCTACTAGAATAGTGTATCAGAGGTAAAATCATTGTGTAGGACTCATGTTAGTTGTTTGAGTCTGTGATTGAGGGTCGGGTTATTGCAGTGTCAGCTGGATTACTCGACAGGTTGTGACTCTATCACCTACCTCCTGACCCTGGAGGACCATAGAACCTTCCAGAAGTCAGTAAACGGAAGGGTGTGGAGGCTAATCTCATATTCATGGGGGTTCTGGCCATTTTTCAGATTTGGTGGACCTGGTCTATAAATATGGAAGAAGTCAGGGTGACAGAGGGGTTGGGAAGTGCTGAGGAGCTGTCCGTGCCTGGGTAGGTCCCCCTAGGTCTGATGGGGGCTGGGCTGGCTCAGAAGGTTACATTCAATAGTAAGGAGTGAATGAGATCGAGACCTGCCCATCTGCAGGGACTGATGGCTTTCAGGAAAAGAAAAGTCCAGGATCATTGCTTTGTACATTATTTAAATTAATTTATTTCAGGTACTTACTATAGCGCCATCAATTTATGCAGCACTTTACATATATATTGTACATTCACATCAGTCAATCCCTAACCCTCAAGGGGTGTACAATCTAAGGTCCCAAACCTACATTCATACATACACATACTAGGGGACAATTTAGAAAGGAGCCAATTAACCTACCAGCATGTCTTTTTGTTTGGGTGTGGGAGGAAACTGGAGTAGCCCTGAGGAAAAACCACGATGCAGGCACAGGGAGAACATACAAATTCCAGGCAGGTTGGTGCCGTGGTTGGTGATTTGAACCGGTGACCCTAGTACTGCCAGGCAGAAGTGCCAACTTAGTCACTGTGCTGCCAATAGGAGAGTAGTGTCCACCTTCCATTGATTCAGCCAGGGCGACCTACTCTGTCCTCCTTATCCTGGACCTCTCTGCGGCCTTCGACACAGTTGACCAACACCCCTCCTCCTTAATAAAACTACTCTCCCTTGGCATCAGAAGATACCGCTCTCCCTGGTTCTCATCTAAACCTATCCCGACGCTCCTTCAGTGTCACCTACAATGGTGCCACCTCCCCCTCCCTCCCCCTCTCTGTTGGGGTCCCCCAAGGCTCTGTCCTTGGACCCCTTCTCTTCTCCATCTACACTCCTCCCTGGGCAAACTCATACACTCCCACGGCTTCAACTATCAACTCTACGCTGACGACACCCAAATCTACCTCTCCACCCCTCTCCTCACCCCCACTATCCTCCGCTCCGCATCAATCACCCTCCTAAATGACATCTCAGACTGGATGTCGCTACATTTCCTCAAGCTCAACCTCTACTCCAAAACCGAGCTCCTCGTCTTTCCCCCGCGCCCCCCCCCATCCTATCCATCATCACCAAACAACTCCACTATCACTCCCGCCCCGCAAGCCAAAGTCCTTGGCGTCATTCTTGACTCGAACCTCTCCTTCCAACCGCATGTCAAATCACTTAACAAACACATTGCAGGCTCCACCTCCGCAACATCGCCAAGATCCGCTCCTTCCTCACCCCCAGACACCACCAAACTTCAAGTACACTCCCTCATCATCTCACGCCGTTTGACTACTGTAATTCTCAAATTCTCATTGGCCTACCCAAGTGCAGGCTCTCCCCGCTCGCCAGACCATCCTTGTGGAACTCAGCGGCCAGACTCATCCACCTCACACCCACTCCACCTTCTGCCTATCCCTCCACTGGCTCCACCCCCCTCTGCCTATCCCTCCACTGGCTCCACCCCCCTCTGCCTCTCCTCCACTGGCTCCCGATTGCCCAACGCATCAAATTTAAACTCCTAACCCTGACCTACAAAGCCGTTTCACAACACTGCCTCTGACTACCTCACCAAACCTGATCCCCAAGTACCAATGCCCTACCCGTACCTTTGCTCCTCACGGGACCTCCTTCTATCCTGCTCCCTGGTCTCCTCCTCCCATGCACGACTGCAGGACTTCTCCAGGTCCTCCCCCATCCTCTGGAACTCACTGCCCCAATCCATCAGACTGTCGCCTTCCCTCTTCACATTCAGGCGCTCCCTCAAAACCCATCTCTTCAGGAAGCCTACCCCACCCTCACCTAACAGCCAGCCATTCTCCCTCTTTCCTCCCACCCCTCATTCCCCTCAGCCACTTCCTACTGTTACCTTTACCCCCCTCCCACCTAGATTGTAAGCTCGAAAGAGTAAGGGCCCTCTTACCCTCGTACGTTGTTTGTTGTGGTACTGGGCCATGTATTGTCCCCCCCTCAATTTGTACATGGCTGAGCAAACCCTTTGGCGCTATATAAACTCCATGTAATAATAATAAATAATAAATAATTGGGCATCCCATAATCCCTATTTCTCTATCCAAGTTGAATTCCCTAATAAAATAACAAATGCTAAGCCCATGGACTTGGTCACTGTCTTTGGATGCAAGTCTGTGTGAAAGAAATATTCTGAGCTGAAGGTACTCATCGACCTGCCACTAGTCATCTACACAGTGGGATCTGAGCTCAGGACTATGGTAGTGGTGGTGGGCATCGTGACTGATGTTAGATCTACTTCGGGGGAATGGGGTTTTTTGGTGTTTCAATAAAGGACTTGTCAAGGAATGTTTCCCGACTCATAGATCGTTGTCGGGTTATTGCAGGTCAGCTGGATGACAACACAGGTTGTGGCTCTATCACCTCCTCCCTGACCCTGGAGGACCATAGAACCTTCCAGAAATCGGGTGGGCAGGATGGGGGTAGGGGCCTAACCTACATATTCATGGAGAGTACGGCCAATCCCAGCTTTTGAGGCCCTGGTAGAGTGGTGGACTGGACTTTCAATATGGGAGAGACCAGGCTGACAGACGGGGTCGGGTGGAAGATGGAGTTCTGAGGAGACTGTCGGTACCTGGGAGGTGACCCCTAGGTCTGGCGGGGGCATTCCTCCAGGCCGGGCTCAGGCTGGCTCAGGAAGACACATCCAACAGTAAGGTGTAAATGGGATTGAGACCTGAAGCAGCAGACAGCAAAGAGGACAGTTGTGAGTACAGCAGCATTCTGTGGGATCTACAAGGGGAAAGAGACTGCCACACGTAGCAAGCGTCCTGATTACAGGCTGGGCTCAATCCTTTATCCTTGTCCCGGGAGATCTTCCAAGACAGACAGGAGCTGGTAGTACTTGCACGCTTGTGGAGCTGGATTTAACAAGGGGATTAACCCAAAAATATTAAACCTAAACTGACATCAGGGAGGGCATGCCTACATAGATGAGCTGGTTCCTCTGTGCATACCTAATCCATATTTCCCATCCAAGTTGAATTCCCTACTAACACTAACACAACCAATGGGCATTTGTCTTGGATGCAATGAACGTCTGTGCACTAGGCAGTTGCCCAGAATGTGCAGATTATAATTGGGCACCGCTAATACTAATGTGCATGCTCATTCTGGTGCGCATTACTTGTGTATGGAATTGTGCAATCACACATTCTGGTGCACGCTGGTAGTTATGGCTGAACACCTCCGGTTCGGTTCACGGTAAAACATTCAAACAGACCAAGTTCGTGAACATCGAACCTACTTTAAGTCTATGGGACTCGAACATGCAAATTCACAAGTGCCCAATTTGAAGGTTTTATATGTACGGTATTGGCCATAAAAGTGGTATGGGGACTCAGGGGACTGCCCTGAGGGACATGAATCAGGGAAAAACATATTTTCAAAGAGTAATCATTTTTAAAGGGGCAGTCATTTCTCATTGCTTAATGTAAAAAAAAAAATATTCCTTTCAATATCATGCCTGGGGGTCCCCTTAAACTACCTGCAAAAGTTGCAGATCTGTACAATGTATAGAACCTGCTGCAGCAGGACTGACACCATAACCCTTCAGTTATTCTTGCATAAGTCACTGATTGCCACCATATGTCGCTGATCGCCACCATAAGTCGCTGATCGCCACCATTATGTCACTGATCATCGCCATAAGTCACTGATCGCCTCTATAAGTCACTGATCGCCACCATTTTTTAGTAGAAAAAAAAATTCCAGTATATATACCACCATTTGTAAATGCTATAACTTTCACATGAAAATAAACCAATTAATTTACACGTATTGGATTTTTCTTTAGCAAAGACACGGAGCAGAATACATTTTGACCGAAATTAATGACGAAATTTGATTTTAAATTTTTTTTACTGGACTTGTTTTATAAACAAAAAAGTCCAAAATATTGTTTTTTTCTCAAAATTGTCTGTGGACCCAACTCCAAACTCAAACTAGCCAAACAATTCCCATTTTCATGGGAAACAAACAGCATTCCTTTACCTAGGAATCAGACTCACCACCAGCGACAGACCATCTATACACAGCAAACCACAAAATATTGCTTGAAACTATTACCCCGAGAACTAAACACTTTACTCACCTCAGAACTCTCCAAACTAGGCCGTGTGGCGACCACTAAAAATGTATATTTTACCCAAAATCTTGTATATATTCCGCACACTCCCCTTACCAGTCCCTAATTCATTCTTCTCTAAACAATTCTCACAAAATTCATATGGAACTCGAAAAAACCGAGATGTACCACCAA